TCAGAAGATGCAGTACTTGGATGATTGTAGAACTGTTCAGCATGCCTTAGGAATAGATACACCAACATAAAGATGACTAGAAATGGTGACAGCAGAAGCATAGCAAGCCCAACCACAAACAGCCGTTTCTTCAATGTTGTAGGATTTGAAACAAAGTCCCGTCTGACTCGAAAATTGCTGCAGAATGAAAACGCCTGAATTAGAGAAAATGACAATACTTAGCAAGGATTTTTCATCCCATGGCTTTACGTTTCAAGATAGCAGAAGGCACACTTTTTGTAGTATATATACATACAAATACTATACCAGGACAATCTCAGATCACTATGGTCTGACCAAGAAAAAGCAACCCATGAGAAATGAAACTACTTTATTCATCCCATTCCTCTATAGAAAAAACTCTTAATCTATCGCTTTGGCAGTTCATAAAATCCTATCATTTACAGTGTTACTAGAAAGCAGTTTTTAAGATTAGCTAGAGATAGGCATGGAGAATAATAGCATACCAGTCAAACATGCTCTGCAGTATGCACCAGTTAAGGGTCCATTCAAGGGTCTTTGTCAACACAAGGTGGTACCGTGTCCCATCTGGTGCAGATTTAGCTACTGGACCAGCACCAGGGATCCAATGGGAAATTGGGAAAGAAAGCAAGCCTTTGTTGAGCATCCCAATCAAGTAGTTTTCTTTCCGCATAAGGCGCATAACAATATCGTGAGCTGAAAGATCCTTAACCACACAAAGGCACTGTGAGCTTTGTAACTGAACAACCTTCTCCAGGACTGTTTCCCATGGCATAGTAAGGATTTCTTTGTCTGTGACATGGAGACTGCAAATATACAACCCAAAAAAGAAAATAAGCTATGGTCGAATATGTAAGTTTTGTTCTAGCAATAACCAACGTTAGTTTTGTTCTAGCTTAACTGTTAATAGCATGTTCCCTCTTCCAACTTACCTGTTGTAATAGAAGTGCCGAAAGTCCAAAGTATCTTTCAACTGAGCGAAGAACCTTAAGAAACAGAAGATCCAGTAGACAGAGAAGAGGGCCAAATATCCAACAATTATAGCAGTTGTGAGTGTGAAAGGGGTTAAAGGATGCAGATGGATAGCTTCTTTGACAAGATCACATGGCTTAGTTCCAGATTCAACCGCATCCATTCCACATTTTGCATTCTTAAGACCATGCCAATCAACATACAGCAAGAAAAACCCAGAGAAGCATATGATGAAGCCAAGACTCAGAAGCTCAACAGCCCACTTTACGATGATACACCAAAGGCCTTTGTCTCTATAGTAGCTGTAGAGTCTTTCGAAGAAGAGATCCAAATCAGCGATTGGTTGAACATTTAAGCTCTCCCCATTAAGAAGTCCCGATGGGCTCTCACTACCAGGACTTGGTACTCCTCCGTAGTTAGATAGCTCAATCTCGTGTGACACATTATGAAGCAATCCGGTAGTCAAGGACGATGATGACGGTTCACCACGTTGCCATTTGAAAAAGTTGAACACGTTTGGAGCCTGTTGCCCGCTGCTCATCATTCGTACACACAGACGATTGGCAGAAACAGCCAGTCCATTCCCCGTTTAGGAGTCCAGTGCCCAACAAGAATGCAGCTACAAATCCTGCATCGCATATGAAACCATGGATCAGAGACATGCAAACAAAAAGTGCCAATCACATATGATGAAGATTACCAATGAGAAACAAAGGCAAATCAGATCCTTAGAAGCAGAAGACAAACCAAAAATAGGAACTTTGTGGCATAACTTGCTAAAGACATGTTTCTGATTCCCATGATGACAGCTATCAACTACCCAAATTACTATTCAATTCAAAAGTTTCCTTTCTTATATGGACAATGCAACAAGTGCTTAGCAACGAAACGTTGCAATATGAGAAAGCACACAAACACAGTTTAGAGAGTAATCTATACTCAATTGATAATCCTAAACAAGGTTCACGCAACTATTGCACAGACAATATACCTTGATCAAAGTCAATTCCTTTAAACCAACTCTGTTCTTCCCATGACAAGAAGGGTATATCTACTTTTTTTTTTTTTTTGAACAACTAAGGGTATATCTACTATTCTACTATTAACAGCGATTCTAATCAGGAACCATTGAAACGTCAAACCCCAACGCCCAAAACCCATCAACTAACAGGCTAAACTCATCCAACCCATGAACTAATTCTCCCCTCAAAATCACTGTGCCGAAAAAAACCAAACTTTATAGATAACTACAAACAAAAAGATCAAAACTTTACCGGCGACCGACCAAAGGAAGAGCAAAGAGAAAGCAAAGTTGTGCAACCAGCTAGCGTAATATGTCTTGAAGCCGAAGCTTTAAGGAAGGAATAATCCAACGAAAGGCGAACTTTTTATCCCTTAGGGCAGTGGAAATTGGATGAAGAAGTTGAAAAGAGAGGAGCGAAATTGATCGACGGACGATTTTCGATTGAAGGAGAAGAGAATAATAAGAAGGAGAAATTGGGTTTGCGTGGAAGAAAAGAGGAGTGATAAAATATTGATCCTTTATGCTTGGAGGACTAAAATTTGGTTTTTGGATTGGGCTTTTCTTCTTCTTCCTCTTCCCTTGTCTTGCAGATGCTTAACCAAAGAAACGTGATCACACGAGACGCTTTTTTATTCTCTTCTTCCTTTTTTTTTTTTTTTTTTTTTTTCTTTTGTTTAGTTTACTTCGATCCTTGGTTTAGATGTTTCGGACCGACCCATGCGTTTCTGAACCGAACGGAACTAAAATACTAATTAGTTGATCTGGAAACTGAACCGTCCTTGATATGGTTTAAAAATTAAAACAGGTTCACCTTAAGCTTTTTCTACGTCCAAATAAACGCAAACAAAATCACACCATAAGAATATAAGATTATCAGACTTACCTTAAATATTAATAAATCAAAAATCTAAAAAGAAAAGAAAAAAATAAATGGAAATCCAGATTGGAAATCCAGATTGAAAATCTCTAGTTTTAGGAAACGAAAACAAAATTTGAAAGAGTTTTTTAATTGGCAAAAAGAAGGGGAAATTGCTCATTTTATTCCCCAAGTATTTGTAATGAGAACTTTTATTCCTCAACCATCACTTGCTCCCTTTAATTCCTGAAATGTGTGTTAACTGCACCAAAATTATAATTTAAAACTCAAACTTTTAATAATAAACATATAATATTAAATAAAATCATTAATTCATCATAATTTTCATTGTTAAACATAAAAAAAAAAAAATCTGTGAATCTTTTTGATGATTTTTTATAAAATTCAAATTAAAATTTTGATAGATTATGTGACACAAATCTTAAAATTAGCCCGGAATCCACCTGATTCAAACTAAATATCAATAAAAATCGCAAAACAAATTATTTAAATTATTGATTTAGATTTTTTTAAGATATAATGGTGAATATATTATGTATTTACAAATTTATTTAATGTTTTGTGTCTATTATTCAAATATTGTTTTTATTTTTGAAAGTTTGACTTCTTAATCATAATTTTGGACAGTCAACTCACATTTCAGGAATTAAAGTGAGCAAGTGATACTTGAGAAATAAAAAATTCTCATTACAAATAGTTGGAGAATAAAATGAGCAATTTCCCCAAAAAGAAGAAGAACTTTTATGATGGGCCAATTGTTTTAGGAGTACGGTCCATGTTTCCTGATGGACCAGTAAAGGACTTGTGTCGGGTTTTAGGAGTACCGGCCCTGTTTTATGATACTAGTGATACATACGAACCGTAGAGATGAATAAACAATTTTTTTTTCTTAATTACTAAGAAGTTATGGGCCAAAGTCCGTACATCCCTTTAGACTCGAAACCACAACATGTAATATTGGTTTCGTCCCAAATGGCACTCGATCCTGTGACCTCTAAGTTTTGCTTAGGATCCATTTACCAGTCGAGCTATAGCCGCTTGGTGAATGAACAACTTTACATGCACCAACAACACCATTTTTGAAAATCTCTTGTAAGCTTACTTTTAATAATATGCATAAATCAGCATCTTTTTTGGAATCGAACCTCAAACATCTTGCTGTCGAAGTATTAGTCTAAAATAACTCAAAATTTTAAATTCAGCAAAAGATCAAAACACTAAGAAAATTTCACACTGAAAAGACGTGGTTAACTACCTTTATTGATCTTAGAGTCTGTCCCTCAGTTGATACCCGTTTGCATTCTTCCTGTTATACCACGGAACATCCCATTTACACACCAAAATGATAGTTCCTCAAATCAAGACAATATATAGATATGACAAATTTGGTAGAGTAAGCAAGAAGAGAAAAACAAAATAAACCCTCAATATTTTGTTTTGACGTTGTAACCTTGTACAAAATGATTCAAGCTTGTGGCAAACAGTAATAGCTAAACAAAAAAGGGAGAAAAACAACATTACTGTATTATTAACATAATGAAGATTAATTCACCAACATTCTTTCACCTACTTCTGTAAGTATACTTTTACATGAACCCTAAGATCTTCAAACATCCAGAGTAATCACATAATAGAATCATAAGAGTTTATAGATGACTTACCTCCAGCCATTGTAGAGAAGAGATAGAGGTATTGAATCTAAGATAAGTGATTAGGTTTTTCTCCCCTTGCCTATGAACTTTATGTGTCTCTTTTAGGATGCCTTTACAATGGACTAAAGGCATATATTTATAGGTGGAGAGAGGACATAATTCCTCTTTAGGGTTTCCTTTTAATCTCAACCGTCCATCAAAGTAGAGATTATTAGGAAATACTCATTTATATTTAAGTTAATTAATTACCCATTATGTTATGGAATAGCAATAGCTCAATAGGAATACGGATTAATATAAGACCATATAAAAGGAAGATAAATTTATCTTACAACTTCATCCGATGATAATAATGTATGAAGTAGGGTAATGGTTTAAGCGCATGGGTTGGTCCTGTAGGGCTCCTAGTTCCATTCTCGGTGGGGAGAATGTTATACGCCATATGTAATAAGGTATAAGCAAATGTTAGTTCTGAGTCAGGAGAGGAATTAAAGCCCAAACCCAAACTCTTCCTAATCTTTTTAAGAAAAAAAATGAGGAGGAATAAAATATATGGAACTTTTATTCCTTCTCATATTTGATGAGAAACATTTCTACATTAAAATTTCCTAATCAATCAAAAATAAAAAGAAATGAACTTTACTTATGAATGGTGTAATTTTAGGGAATGTGGAGGAATGTTTTTATTCCCATCATTACTTGGTCACTATTCAAAGCCTAAGTTCTTAAATTTTTAAAGATTTTTCAAAGAATAAAAAATGAGGAAATAATTCTTAGTATTACCAAATGAGAATATGATAAACCTTTATATAGTATAGATTTGAAAATATGTACATATAACAACAGTGGAAAATATAGCATTTAGTATAAAAGTTGAAGCTTGTTGGTATATATTAGAAATGATGATTGAAAACAATTTTAGGATTAAAGTAAAGATATCTCATGATAAAATTTCCTAATGTTTAGTAAGAGAAAAATATTGAATATATCTAAAATATTAATTACAGTTGATTTGTTTGACTAACTGTATAGTTTATAAATAGTTATATTTTCTTATGATAATAATATTTCCCTTATGATGATCTATCTTTATATTCAAAGAATCTATAAATATTGAACTATGTACATTGTATGAGAGCATATACAAATTTCTCCAAGTAGGAAAATATCAAAGAAATATTGTTAATCTTGATGGGCCGCATGGGCTTCTCCTCGGTGATATCATCTCGCGGGAAGCAACGGCAGAATTTGGCGGGAAGAAACGGCAGAATATAGCGGGACTCACACGTGGCTCCTCTCTCTCTCCTCTGCGCGCCATATAAACCCTTCTTCATCTTCTTCATCGCTTCTCCTCTCTCTCTCTCTCCTCAACACACACTCTCTCTCTCAATCTCTGAATCTGAAGCTCATTGACTTTGTTGGAAAATGAGTGCATCAGGTTCTTCTGGATCCATTCCATTCAAATCGAAGAAACGTCTGATGGACTCTCCATGTCCAAAATCGAAACCCGGGATCCCTAATTCGCCTTCCGTATCCGTGCCCACACCGGAGAGGCCGCTGGAGAATATCCACACTAGATCCAGAAACCGATCTGTGGCTCTATCCGTGAAAGAGATTCGCCAAGCCGCTGGATCTCGTCGTAGATCTGACGATCCGGTGTCATCCGCCAGGGGGCAACTCTTGTTTTCCGATAACGATTCCTTTTCTTCGGCCTCTAAACGAATTAGCAATACGAAGAATGCTGAGAAGGACAAACTTCCGGAGAAGTAAGTTAATTTTTCTAGGGTTTTAGATGATTTTTCAATTTTCCCCCTTTTTGTTAATGTGATACTGATGAGATCTGGGTTGCTGCAGATACGAAAATCTGGGGAAGTTCTTCGATGCGTTAGACAGTTCGATCCGATTATCGAAATTGCGAGGTTCCAAGCCGACGTTTTTCAACATCTCTGGAAAAATCGAGGGTTTAACCGAAAGGTATTTTCCTGGAACATTTTCAATTTCACTCATGTTCATGCGCTCACTGATTGTCACTTATGGAATGTGATCTGAATTTACAATCAAATTTGATCTTTGCCTTTATACTTTACATGCTAGATAAGACAAAATCGTTATTTTAGATCTGTTTTTTAATAGATTCACTAATAACTCCTGTAGATTTTAGAAATTCATAGTCATCCCAATTTCTTAAGTCAAACTTTTGATTTGAATCTATTTGCAGGAGGTTTTGCTACAATCACTTGGCTCAACTAAAGCATATATTGCCAGAGGCAATCGAGATCAAGAGAGTATTGATACATGACGAAAGAACAAGCTGCATGAAACCAGATCTTCACATTACACTCAACGCAGATGCAGTTGAAGATAGTGACAAATCGAAATCAGAGAGTAAGAAGATCCCACTCCGGAAAGTGTTCAGGACAAGACTTGCAGATTTTGTTAAAGCTCACCCTCAGGTATATTTTTATTCCCTGTGATGGGACATAAAAATGCGTTCTTTACACGGTTTTGGTTGTTACATTGTATGCTAATGGAGGTTTTATATGTGTAGGGTGATGAAGTGCCAGAGGAACCACTTCCAGAGCTGTACAATAGAAGGAAACCAAATGAAGAGTCAAAGGATGAGGTTAAGAGTGTTAGTTCTGTCATGGAAGAGATGGCTTCAATCCCAGCTGCTACACTGATTTCATCGTTCATGAAAGTCCCATCAATCCCAGTCAAAACAGCTTCGAGCCCTGTTAAACCAACTTCGTCACCACCTCTAGTCAAAACAGCTTCAACTCCTGCTAAACCAAGTTCTTCTGAGATTAACATTGCGTCAACTCCAGTCAAACCAGTATCAAATCTGGCTAATGTACCTTCAACGCCGGCTAAAATCGACTCAACACCAGTTATTGTTGATTCAACTCTAGCTAATGTGCCTTCAACGCCGGCTAAACCTGAGTCACCACCAGTTGTTGTTGCTTCGACTCCACCTGAATTTGCTTCAACTCCTGCCCGGCTGATCAGTACGCCATTGACAGCTCGTCCGCTTAAAAGAAGCAGTGGTTCTGTAAATCCGGATGATGTTTCTACTGACCCACCGGCTAAGCTCGCAAGGCGTTCCTTGCTAAGCTCATTGGACGTTACATCTTTTACGGAGGATGAGAAAGCTATGGATGTGATAGATGATTATGCCATCGATCAAGTGCCAGAGGAAGATGCATTTAGCGATGATGAAATCCTCAGCATACTTCCTGCTAAACTTCGACAATCGGTAATACATCTCTTATACAGATTCCCTTTGCTCTCGTAATCACATTATACTTTTTAGCTTGAGATCAAGATGAACTAACTGAGAGATTATTCCATCTTGTTATTTCTAATTTCAGATTAAAGAACAAGAGAGAAAAGCAATTGAGGAGCAGAATCCAGCAATCTCGGAGGCAAAGAGAAGGAGAAAGATGATTAAGTGCCTGCCTAAGCTTTTCAATGTCATCCACTACTTGATTCAATCTATAAGGCGTTGGGTTATCACAAAAGAAGAGCTTGTGCACAAGGTTATCGCCGGTCATTCTGATATTACGGACAAAAGTAAGCTCTTTAACCTCTTGAGTACTTTAATATATCAACTTCTTCGGCGTTTCAAAACCATCCTAACTTTTCTTGTTTTTCTCTGTCGTTTTGCAGGAGAAGTTGAAGAACAACTTGTCTTAATGCAAGAGCTGGTCCCTGAATGGATATCTGAGAAAAGATCATCAAGTGGAGATTTACTAATATGGTGAGTTTAACGTCTTATAATTACTTAACACAAACTTTTTTTGTTGTTGTTTTGGGTTTGATCTGATGCTCTTCTAAACATTTCTGATATGCAGCTTCAACAAATTGGCATCTTCCCAAACAATCCGGTCGAGTCTAGAAGAAGAAAACAAGAAAGCCAACGCCGCTCCACAGCTTTCTTAAGATTATGAAAGTTTATTTATTAATGAGAAAGGCGTGTAGAGAGTAGGTTAGATTATGAAGTTCAAGCGTGGAAGTATAACTATTTAACAAATTATACTGATTTAAGGTAAATCCTTTTTTGGCTGCATTTTCGAAATCTGTAGAGATCTTGACATTGCTCTTTATCTTCAAAGTTAAAACGACAAAAGTGTAGTGTTTTGTGCATTTAGGAAAACATGTTATGATTGAATCGCCATTTTGAGCAGAATTCTTAAACTAATGTTTTGCTAATGATAATTTACAGAATCAACGAGTTAAAACAAAGGACTATGAGTCTATGGCACTGGCAAAATAAAAGAAGAAGCAAGAAGGATCAATGAAGGCACAAACACACAAAGTAAAAGCAACAAATAAAAGGGAGCGAGTAGTAGAAGTGTAGAACTGGCTAGAAAATTTTGAAGTCACTGTCTGACTGTTTCAATTTCCTTTTATTTTACCAGTTAAAATTCAGTTAACATGTAACTACATTTTTTTCATATATTCTTATTAAATTTTAGAAATCTTGCATAATTATATACTGTTTTCAAGAAAAATGTGGTACTTGTTTTAAGTTTAACTCGTTGATTCTGTAAATTATCAGTCCAAATATATATTATTTGTTTGGAATGAAAAATGTCGTATTTGTTTTAATGAAAATAAAAAAGATATATATATATATATATATATATACTGTATAACTTCTTCTAGTAAAAACTAAAAAGGCTCCCTTTGTTGAGTAAGTGCGAGCTCTTCTTCTCCCTCAACAACAATGCCCGTCAAATGGTAAGTAAGCTTTCTCGTCAATTGCAGGAAAAGGTGAAAAATCGTTCCTGAAATTCGGGGTATTTTAATTCGTTTTGTTTCAATCTCTCTGGGTTTATTCTAGGGTTTTGCACTGGCAACCGAATCAAGGATCAACAGTTAGCAGCCAAATCCTGAACGAAGCTGCACAGTGCGTAGAGAGCATCAATGGCGTCAAAGAAGGAAGATGGAAAGCCACTCTCAACTATTACAGACCCATTTTACGAGGTTTCTTCCCGATTTTTCTCTCTCCTTTCTCCTTCCTTCTTCTTCATCATATTTGCCTTAACCTTGAGTGAGATTTGGGAGCAGATCAAACGAATCAATCGGAGCTGCCGCGTGATTTTCTAGGGATATCGTTAGCGGATGAGCCGAGCAAGTACTATTTCATCATCAGGTCGCAGAGGATTGTGGTGGAAGCAGATTCGTCGATTCAATTGATTATGGAGAAGCTTCAGTCTTACAAATCCAAAGTCGCGCTCTTCTTTGAAGGCTTTCAGTACCAACTCGGTGATTTTAGACTCAGAGCTGGTAAAGTTGTTCCTACTCATTCCGAGAATGTTAGAGGCATCGTCATGGAGGTATTCTCAAGCTTATTGATCTTGTTGATGCATCTACATGATTCATATATGTGTGTGTTTATTGCAACGTTTTGGTGATGGATACTTGATGATTTTGACAGTGTTAAGATAGATAATGATGAACATTGAACAATGTTGATGCAGTTAGAAGATGAAATCATTTATTTAATAACTAAAGGTTTGTGACCTTGTGTGGTGTATTATCTGTGTATATGAAGGTGGAGTATCTGCCAATATCCTCAATGGAAAAGGCAAGAAAAGTGATGGAGGAGTTCATGGAGATATGGCATGAAGCTATGTCCAAAAGGTCGTTGCCTGGTAAGTTCGGCAACATTGAACTCAACTTTGCCGAGTTTGGACTTGCAGACACATACACTCCACAGCACACCGCTGTTCGATATGCTCATGTCATGGCTCACATGATTGCAACGGTGCAAGCTGTGAGAGGCTAAGATAAAAACAAACAAAAAACAGCCTTTTTTTTTTCTTAGGTAAAGTTCCGAATTGTGCTATTTTAGTGGTACTTATGTATGTTTAGTTGAGAGAAAGACCAAGTTGCAAAACTCTAGAAAACTTGAGCGTAGGAAGTGAGTTTTTTTAGTGAAAGCCTCAATTCTTAGCTTCTTCTGTATCATCCGCATTTGATTTGAATATGGTTTTAGTTCGTTTTGAGATTGTGAATCTTGAATCTTTTCATCATACCTTATAACTGGTCTCTATAGCAATTTTTTTGTATGCATTTTGTGTAACAACTCATTAGCATATTATTACTAAAACATAACTATACTCTATGCTTTTAATAGGAAAAAACTCAAGTAAAAACTAAAACAAAACCATATTCTATGCTTTTAATAAAAAGGACTAATGATGTCAAAAAAAAAAAGGACTAATAGATAGAAAATAAAAAAATGAAGCTAAAAACTAAAACAGTGTAGAACAATCGGTGGGTTTAAAAGAAACCACCATTGAGGAAGGATCATAACCCACCAAAAAATTGTTCTGTGCTCTGTTCCCAAAGACGGCCATATGTATCGGATCAGCATCCATAAGCGCCAGACAAAAGATTCCTCCTTTGTCCACGTACATATTGTTATTATACAACACAAGATCCGCACCGCCGGAGAAGTGCATAGTGATCACCGGAAATATTTCAATGGTGTTCGAATAGTAGCAAAGCGCGTCTGAGTAAGGTGCTCGATCCGCTGTCACAACGCTTTCCACTGCCGCCTTCACTTGTTCCAAGTAGCTCCCGGGCAAGAACGTGTAAGTGGTTCCAGAGTCTATGATCATGTTCCCGTCTGTGGCGTAGAACGATGTCCCCAACATCTCAATGCGATTATCTCCAACGCTGATTGCGTCTAGGTTTAGGTAATAGAAATCCGGGAAATTCGTCTTTCGGAACATATCTGCTGCTACTGTCCCATCTCCTGCTACAATAGCGTTCGCTCCAAAGTTGATCTTGCTAGTTCCCGTACCGGAGAAGCAATAAGACAAAAGACCTAAGAATCTTTCTCCCATCTGAGAGGTGAGCGATGTAGCTGCCCAGTTTAGACCAACAATGCCTGAAGTGGTCGACACAAGCCCTGAGTTGTTGTGGCCACAGCCAATTAGGGTTTCAGGCATCACAAAGGGTTGGCCTGAAGTGGACTGGATCGTGACAGTCTCGGAAACATACGTTCCCTTGGTGTAGCTCTTGCCAGCGTAGACAAGCTCGTAAGGACAAGAGTGGTCATGGGTCTTGCATCTTCTTGGTTTGTAGGTTGAAGATTTAGAAGGGTCGAAGATGGGAGCTACTTGGTTGTAGCAACTTTGACAAGGCAAGCATTGTGTCCATATGAGGTGGCTTCCTGTGTCTATCATAGCTTCGATCTCGACAGGAGGAGTACCGATTTGTATCTTCATTAGATACTCGGAGCTCTCAGAATCAAAGACGGTGTTGGCGTAAGGAGATCCATAATCATCAGTGGATGGTCGTAAAGAAGAGGTATTAGAGCGACGGTGGATTAAGTCGAAGGTGAATCCATGAGGTGATGATGATGAGGCAGTGGTGGTAAGTAAAACGAAAGCTGTGATTATGATGGTTCGAAGAGAAAAAGAAAGAGCCATGATCATTGTCCTTGCAAGAGACAATGATCGAATAATATTTTGGGTTTTGAGACACAATGCTACATGTCTTCATCCATGCACATATATATATATATATATACAGTTTGGACTTATTGTCGTAATTGTTAGTTTGTCTTAATTTGTCAACTTCTTCTATTTTTGATATTTCCATGTGGTCTCGTAGCATGGGAAATTTTACTTTTTGTTAAGTTTTACTTTTGTTCTGTTTTGTTATACTTTGCACTGATGGAAATTAGTTAATTTTTTTCTACTTTGGTTAAAATGAATTATTTCCCTTTTCTCGTTAGTTTTCCTTTAGAGAGACATCATGAATCCATGATCCGTATTCGAATTTAAAACTATAGACAGACTTTCGTAAACTTGAAAAACATTAACATTCTTTATCAAAAAAAGAAAAACATTAACATTAAAGAACCTCATTACGTTGCCATAATACGCATTATAAATTTGAGAGCTGTCGTGTCATATCTAAATTAGATCGGCTTGAGGCCAGTCGTAAAAATATAAATGAGGGAGATTGGACATTAATAATCAAGAAACACATCCTTTATTTTGTACTAGGACTTTCACCCGCGCACGCGCGGGTCTGTATCTTAAATCAGTTTAAAATATATTTTAATTTTTTTTTAAACTGCAAAAATCAACAATTAAAATTTATCAATATTTCAATACCAAAACTCTCTGGAAAACAAAAGTTTTTAGATATATCAATATCGTATTGAGATCAAATCTTGACATACAAAAATATTGTTTAGATCATATCCCGGTAACAAAAATGTTTGTGTATGTCTAATGACCAAAACTTACTTGAAGATATTCAAATCATTATAATAGGACAAACTTACTTTATCACTAAACTTACTTGTAAAATGTAATGTTAATTTATGAACTATTGTGACGTGTTAGTCATTTTCTAAACAGAAATATATTTTTAAATATGTTTAGTGAAATTCTTAAAATTAGATGTCAACAATATTTGTATGTAACATGATGTTTATTTAAAATAACTTCAGTTGGTTATGTTAGAACTTAAAATGCTATAAATAACAATATTTGTATGTAATAAATTTAAGCTAGATGATAAACTAATATTTTGGTAAGTTTTCAATGGTTATAAAACCTAAAACCTAAATGAAGAGAAGCTAGTCGACACACATAATTGTTCTTCATTTTCTTCTTCGTTGTTGTTTTAAAGTTTTTTTTAATTTTCTTTGATTCATTCTTTTTCAGTATCTTATGTTTTGTTTTCTTCTTTGTCTTTGGTCTTATTTGATTTCTTCTTCATTTTCACTCATCTTCGCGTTTGCTCTTCTTCGTCTTCGCTCTTCTTTTTTTTTCTCTTTTTTGTTTTGTTTTGATTTGGTTTCTTCTCCTTTGTTCTTATTTTATTTCCTCTTTAGATTGGTCTTCGCAAGTTTTTTTGTTGTTGTTAGGTTTCTTCTCCTTCGTTCTTGTTCGAATTCCTCTTCAAATTGTTCTTCACAAGTTTTTAATATGGTTTTTCCTTATTCATCTTTGTCTTCTTTGGTCTCTATTTTGTATTCGCAATTCAATATCTTTGTTTTCGCTATTCTTCGGTTTTATCTTGGTACTCTTCTTCTTTGTGTCTACTTTTTTCTTCATTTTTTTTCTCTTATTTCTGTAGGTTATTCTCGACCCTTAAAATTCTGCATGGTTCCATTCCTCTTGTAAAATTCTGCATGGCTCTATTCCTCTTAAATTTAGAATAAATTATAATTAAATAAAACACAATTTCGTTACCTGAAAAACTGAAAATAAAATCAAGCTAGAATGACTTATTGAACAAAATATATTCAAAACAGGCCCTTTGAATGTCATATGTAAATACTAAAATGAGAAGGAATTTATCTTATTCTGTTTTTCATAAATTTACTTTTGTTTATATTCCTTCTCTTTCAAGTGGCATCTTTTAAAAGTACTACTTATAAACACATGAATATGTAAATATTACAAAACATTGAAAAAACAAAAAAGAAAAATAGAAAAGGAACAAAATACAGCCTTCTATTGTGTTTGCCTTTTCCTTTCAATTTGTGTCATGTAATCACTATTCTGATTTTTTTTCTTTCTTCATAATCAATATTATTTTCCCCATCGAAAGCTTACTAATTTAGGAGCAACAATTCACTTTTGATTTAATCTACACTTTGGTAATTTCGATTCCTTGTTCTCTTCATAGTCCTTTGAATTTTTTGTGGTAATGTAACTTATTTATTAATTAATTGGATGTGCTTCCATTATCAAAATACAAAGAAAATCAATTGAACACCATAGACCAGATAATATTCGAAATAAAGCAAGCGAATTTATTTATTTCACAGAAGGACATGTATACCTTCAGTGTGATGCCCATTGTCTTCGTTTCAATCATTCCTTTGCTTCATGATTTTTCATTAATCCACTACATATCCTTTAGAAGAATTGATCGATCTATGTGAACTTTCAATATGTGATGTCAAAGTATCTTGTCTTCAATATATATCCCTCCATCTTGTTTCCAGGTGGTTTCTCGATGTTGGATTTGTTTGATCTTATATCAAGCTCTGACGTGAACATATGTTTATTCATGTAAGCTACATTTGATCAAAATCCAGTTAATACAATTGTAGCTTTTGTAGGTGTTAAAAAGGGAGGAGAGGACTCTTGGTATATATAAGAAACTAAATAGATGGCAAAAGTGTGTTAGGGTTTTTAATTTTTATTAGCTAAAGGAAAATTTCCTTATTTGTTTCCTTATTTAATTTCCAATAGTATTATTATTTGTTTTCTTTTTTCTTAAAGGAAAATCTCCTTTTTTACAATTCTGCTGATAAAAATAAAAAGTAAATTAATGAAAAAAAATTCAAATATAAATAATTTTAGATGTTGATATATAATGATATTGTTGGTATAATTTTCTTATTTATTACATATCTCTACTAATATTACACTTATAAATTCTGGAAACTTTCCTATTGCTTACCTTTGAATTATGAAACTTTCTTAAAATATAAAAATATAAAAAGGAATTTAACTAATTGAACAAATAGCTAATTTTATGTGATGATGTGGACTGATACTATTGGTTGTTTAAAATTCGGAAACTTTCTTAATCTAGGAAATACTTATGTGGACCAATCAAATCGCGTTTTATAATCCTATGTGGACGCTCTTAGAGGCTTATAGCCTCAACTTTTATATAGTATAGATTACATAAAAATTACATTCTGTATGGTAAAACATGAAAAGAAATGTATTGTTTCTGATTCAAGTCTTCAAGAAGATTTTGGTCAGTATAAGTTTACCACACGCTTATTTGTAGGTTGAACCGGCCTCCCGTTTGAATTTGAATCCTGCAAATTATTTTTTCAAACATATATATTTTTTTTTAACTTTTCATATATAGTAAAGTGGTAAAATTCAAGAAGTATATATTGTCATACGTTGGATTTTAATTTAAAAGAAAAATACTCACATCGTGAACAGCCACTCGGAGTAGTCTCACTTTGGTTTTTTTGTCACAGTCCTTAACTAAGAATTTTTTCACAAATATGAAATTCATTTAGTGTATATTCATTTAAAGACTTTTATACTATTATTTCGTTTATATTTATTTGGCATGACCAGCAATTTTTTTTTTTAGTTGATTCACATTAATATAGATATAGAACCCAATATTTTTAGTCTAACAACTAAAGTTTTGTATTTGGCACTTTTGGTAGGTTTATAAGAAGAGGAAGTGACATGGCTTAGTCGTTGACTTAAATTAGTATATAGAGATAAATAATAGATGGAAAAATGTAAGTAAATTTTCTCAATAAAACAATGAATTACATCTAGCACTCGTTCTTTTTTCTTATATGCTTTTAACAATAGTAGCTGATGAAAACATTGATATGTGAGATTCTATAACTTCTACTTAAAATTTAATTCTTTTCTGAGCAAAATTTAAGCAATTTTAATGCAATATTTGATAATTTATTTAGCATTAATTTAACAAAAAAATGACAAAAATGTTAGGAGAGTACTGTGGATGAAAGAATCTTATACACAATCCCATCGGCAAAGCTTTGCACAGTGGATGTTAACGGAAGCTAAAGTTCAAGCTGTTAAAGTTGCCGTTAAGGTTTAACCTTGTGTTCCTTTTGTCCTACTATACTTACTAATCTCACTAGTAGCTAACTTATCACTGTCAAAATGTTTTGATTTTGGATCATTGCTTATGTTATTTTTGCTCTAGGGATAGTGATAGTGTTAGGTGCTCTGCTTTGGTACATCATCAAGAAGGTGATAAGGTACTACCATGGTCTAGTACTACAGAGTCTAGAGACAGAGGATGTAGAGATGGCTGATCGGAGAGTGCTTTCAGCTGTTGCATTTGAAGACTATCAATTCAGGCATGGGGAAGAAGAATGCTCCATATGCCTTGAAGACTTTAGCAATCAACCATTGGCCAACACAGAATGTGGACATGCATTCCATCTAGAATTCATCAATAGGTGGGGATCAAATGTTCATCCAGTCTGTAGAGAGATGATGTAATCTTAATTATATGGTTGTATAGATATTTGAGTTTGTGATTGTGGTTGAGTATATCATCTTACAAGAAGTTTTATATGTATATTGTCACTGTAAATCTTAAGTTTAATACTTGAATCTTAATTTGTCAACTTCTTCTATTTTTGTTATTTCCATGTGGTCTCGTAGCATGGGAAATTTTACTTTTTGTTACTAAGTTTTACTTTTGTTCTGTTTTGTTATACTTTGCACTGATGCAAATTAGATCATTGTTTGTACTTTGGTTAAAATGAATTATTTCCCTTTTCTCTTTAGTTTTCCTTTACAGAGACATCATGAATCCATGATCCGTATTCGAATTTAAAACTATAGACAGACTATCATAAACTTGAAAAACAGTAACATTAAAGAACCTCATTTAATTACGTTGCCATAATCTTTATATTATTAATTGAGAAGTACATTCT